GCCCCCCACCCCAGTCCCGGCATCCCCGCCCGGCCGGGCTGGCCCCGTGGGCCCCGCGAGGCGTGGAGCAGCGGAGCGAGGCCGGAGCGCCGCCGCTGTGGCCCTTGGCGTGAACAGCCCCCGCCACCTCTCGGCGGGCTCGCTTCCCCTTCCTGGACCTCAGTCCTTATCTCTCATGATCCACTGGGGCGCCCCTAATTGCCCAGGCTTCAAGGGAGGAGATGGGGCAGGTCAACAGGAGAACCAGTTGGGTAGGTGAAGGGGGAGCTCCACACTCCCGTGCAGGTCTCTAGAAGCGCAAGGTCCAGACCAGGTGAGTTCGAGTCGGGGCTGCTCTGTAGCCGGCACCCTTGCCCCTGGGCAGGTCACGGCGCGGTCGTTCTCCTGCCTCGCGGCCGGCGCACGTGCGCTGCCCCTCGCTCTCCCAGGCGCCTTAGTGGGACCAGGAAGGCTGGGGAGCAGGGCTGCTCACCAGCTGGGGCGTTATGCCAGGCAGCATCCCCGCGCACGCATCTCTCTGGCTCGCACTGCCGCTGCGAAGTTTACCCCGCCGTAGGGCCCAGGCTGTGGCGACAAAGAGTCCCGAGATGTCAATCTTCTTCTCGAGGTTTAACTCGCTTCTTGCTCACAAACTCCGCTCCCCTCCGCCCTCGGGCACTGCCGCTCCCCCTCAAATTATCCGCGCGCTGCTTGACTCTCCAAGCAGAGGCGGCAGGGATCTTCCTTTCCGTTCAGTGCTCTCCCGGCTGCCTTGCAAACCCGGCTCTCAGATGGATGTTAGGGAAGGGGACCGGTGCGCGGAGCAGTGGCCGCGGCGTCGGCGCCGGAATTCGCAGTCTCCCGCCTCCTGGCGCTGCGCTATCCGCAGCAGCCAACGTGGGCTTTCTGGTGCGCTTCTTGCTCAGGTACCGCACTCCAGCCCCCGGGACTCTCCGCCCTCCCGTCTAACGGACAGGCGGGCAGCCAATGGAGATGCCCATCTCTCCTGTATTTAAATAGGCCCGCCCCCTTCTTTCACCCTCCCTCTCCCGAGAGGCGTCGCCTGGGCGGCGCGTAGGTTTCAAGTACACAGAAAATTCTTGAAGGCATCCAAGGAGCCGTGAGGTAGAAAAGGAAAAGAAGCTATTACTAGTAAGAATGATCTGATCAACGCCCCTATATGAACCTTTCTCTTTTATGATCACACAAAACGCCTCGATGCTTTAACTGAATAAAAGCAAAATCAGCTGTTAAATCTCTTTCTTAGTTTCTTTTATTGATGTACTATAGTCGTTTAGCAGACATGTGGCTTTGAAAGGCAGCTGCCGCAAGTTGGGACACACCTTCCCAAGAAGCTGCTCACAAACTAGCCACCGAGACCGCCAACTGTAAGCCAGACCCTGCGTCCGAGGGTTCAGGGACCAAACATTTTGACGTATGTCTTCATTTGGGCTTTGGCTTGGCTTCTTAAGTTTACACCCAAGATAAAGAGGACATAATCAGATAATATAAGAGAAAAGCCGTATACAATAGATGCAAGATACATGATACAAGATATAAAAAAAAAATGAGGCGAAGTGGTAAAGCTAATCCTAGTAAGGGTAGGGGCTTGGCATGTTCCCATTCTGGACAGTAGTCAGGGTCCTGAAACTCGGATTCCTATAAACATTAGACAAGATCCAGCATGCAAAACATATGTTCCACTTTCATGGCAGGCATACTTCTCAATCAAAGACACTATCCCCTCTGTCAAGCAACAACACCACCATCTGCCTTTCAGGATGCAAATTTATTTGCCCTTACACTATCCACTATCCATGCACAGTAATCTATGGATCTGGGCAAAATAACTTAAAACGTTAGAATCTTTACGTGGTGAAAAGTGTGTGGATTCAAAAGCAAAAACTACTTTTGTTGAACCTGGCAGCCTTCGTTCACATAGTCCAAGGCATTTGAGAGCCAGAATACGGGATTCGTGGACTTATGAGATCATGAGGTTTCTGCTGATCTGAAGCTTGTAAGCATTTTTAACTTATTTCAAAGAATCTGTTTTGCATGGGTCAGGGTCTTTACCTCCCACCATTCCATCATCACCTGAATTGCTCTTTTGTGTTTTGGCCCAAACACAGTGGTCATTTAGGACAGTTTTTAATTCCACAAGTGTCCTATGGCCATTGATCTCAGGTGAGACGATTCCAGCAAAACTGGAGGCCAGTCTTTAACCATCTGCAGGGATTCTTTTCACCTGGAAAGAAAATACACCTCTACTTGGTCTGGGATGGCAAGACCCTTCGAATCCAAAAGTCTCCATCACATTTTTTTCTGTATCGAACTTGTTATGAGCACAAATTTATTGCAGTACATAAAATCACAGCAGTCAATCTGATTGGAAGATCTGAAATCTCGGCAAGTATATGTAGGCTTCCTGCCAAGGTCTTCCTTTCTCGAACCTAGTTACAACTTCTTCTTAAGAATTCTAGTGAGAGACAAGCAGAGTAAAAGCAGTTCCAACCTATAAGGGCAATAGGGAAAGCACTAGAAAACTCTAAGAATCAAGAGCATAGACAAGGGCATCTAGGTAAGGCTAGGCCATTTAAAATACAAAAGCAGATTGGGACACATCTATTGTATATGCACCTCTCATAAATGCATATATGAGCTAGTGGAGATACACACATCATCTTCCTCTTAGATACTTAAAGGAAGATGGACCTGTATGACATGGGTCTAAAATGGCACTTAACAATTTATTGTCAATTAAAAGTCTGAGCAGCAACCGTGATTCAGGTTTGCAGTGGGCTCCCCATTCCCACCAAAATAGCCTCTCAGTTCCTGTTGCACAGTGCTTGAAAAAGGAGGTGCTGAAGGTACCTCCAGATGATGAACACAAGAGCACACAACTCTCTGAAGAGCCAGAAAAAAATATGCAAAGTGAGTTATGACAATGATCACAAGGACAGTGACTTTCAACTGAGGGCTGCAGAAGAGGGTGTGCTCTTCTCATGTCCCCACCACTCCCAGCATGTGCACACGATTGTCAGAAAACACCCAGAAACATCCTTGGCTTCATTAAGGACAAAGGGGCTAAAGAGCTGTGGTTCTAAAATTTTAATAACCTCAAAATTGGGACCACTGATTTTCCAAGTCAGTTGGAACTCCAGGTGGATAAAGAACCCCTAACCACCACCTCACCCACTCCCCTCTTCTCTGACCTGGCATGCCCCAGAAGTCTTAGGGCAGAGTTAGACAAAGTCCAGAGGTGATTCAGGAGAGATGATGGGAAGGCTTTGGAGTCTGCTATAAGGCGTGAGCAGACTGGAGAAAAATCAGAGGTAACTTCGCCCCCTGCAGGACACCAAAATATTACTGCCCCTTTCTCTGTGATCTGGATAAGCTTCATTAAGTTCTCTGTCCCTGTCTCCAAAACATCTGGGTGGAAAGAGGAGGAATTCAGTCAAGAAGCCGGATATGGGAGCCAATCCATATCAAACATCTGGTTGCTGGGCTGACATTTCATGCAGATGGCCTTCAGTTTTCTGGAAATAAGTTGCCTGTCCCACTCTCGCCCCCTTAATGAAGAAGTAAGGAACCCTCACAATAAAGCACAGATTTATCCCCTACCTTTGGTGATACTGGGGACTAGATGAGAATCCTAGCTTTCTCAAGCTTTCATTAGTGCACAGGGTAATTCACACCACAAATTCTTTAAAGCAGCAGTTATCCTTGTTCCTTTTATATCATGAGAGTTTCTATTATACATATATAACATATGTGACCAAATAATTTCAATTTTTAAAAGATGCTGTTTATTAATTTGTATGTTAAATATTCTATACTCTATACTTTCCTTTGAATTATTAGCAATAAATTGCAATTGCAGTATTTTATTTTATACTAAAACATACCTTGGCCCCTTTAAACTGACTTTCCTAAAGATGTAAGTAGCTGCTTTTAGAATTATTTAACATAAAAATGTTATAAGCTATGCTGCTTTTGTGTTGAAAAACCTGAGGCCTGGTCTCCTCGAATCCTTGGGAAACCCCATTTAAAATTACTGCACTTTTATCTTTAATATTAATGTAAGGAGTTGAGTATTTCTTAATATTAATTTCTAAACATAATTTGCTCAAATTTTTAAAATATCAATTTGGAGTCCAGTGAAAGGGAAATATATTAAGTAAATGTTGGTAGAGTATGAGAAATGAAAACTTGAGAGTTAAACAAATATTGCTTCTGAAAGCTACACCTGTAAGGCAGCCTTCAAAATACTCATCTCATCCAAAAGCCTGTGGTAACATTTACATTCACTCACACTTTCCTTTCACTGTCAACTATTCAAAAATGCTGGGCATTCACACTTCAAAATATCATTCTAGCCATCATATTTTCCTACTCATGAAGGACATCTGGTGGCAAAGTGAAAAACTAATACATAAATCTGTTTCCAGAGATTTTTTCCACACTGTAACCCAAATGGCAAATCTATAATTTGTGTGTACTTCGGACTTTCTGCACAAGCTCAGATCTTTATCATTCTAAGATTTAAGCTGTCTACATAATACTAAGCAATGGAGTCTTTAGAAACATCCAGATGATTATCTTTTTAAAATTTTCATTGGATGATTGACAATTGCAGACTGTCTTAATTTTTCTTTCTTTTTTTACTGAGCGAAACGATGCTTAATACATTTCCATGACTAGCTCTGCTATCCCTGAAGAGTTTTATTCCAAGAAATCATTGGACACTTAGCTCCACTGGGTAGTGCCTGAGGCTTCACAGCCAGTGTTGTGCTCTGAGTATCACTCCATTCTATGGCTTCCTCTATACTCCATGCCCTGAATGTGTCTCTTGTGTGTCAACTAGGAGATTCCATGAAAATATGACATTATC